CCCCAAAACCCCAAAACCCCAAAACCCCAAAACCCCAAAACCCCACTAGAAGTCCTTAGAAATAAATTGAAAGATTTATGAATTAAAAATCAAATATTAGCATAGGTAGAAATATTAAATAAATAGACAGAGAGATAGCAGAAAATCAACATTAATCCAAATATTCCAAAAGCTAAAGATAATCTACCTACTATGATACTATTTCTCTCATTCTTATGATTATTAACTATTTTATATCTGTAGTACAAATAGCCAGGATAACAATAAATCAAAAGTGGTATTGTTGAGGAGCCTAGCAGGTTAATAAAAGTTGTGATTTATATTCTAAATCCAATAATCAAAAAGTTCACTAAGAAGAGAATAGTTGCTAAGAAGTATCTATATCTTTTAGGAATATTCATATGAGCCATCCAATATTTTTTTTACTTCAGTTCATCATATAAAGATAATTTCTTGTATAAATCATTGTTTGTAGTATTAGTCTCTTCAGATGGATCTTAAGAACTCTTATCATCTTTAATTTGATATATTCGACTGAAAACTTCCTTGATGTCATATCTATTGTTTTGATTATCAGGCTTTTTTATTACATTCAGTAAAACATTGCTTGTAAGTGACTGATAAAATATTTCATCGAATAATATACATATTTGCTCTAAAGCAATGTGCATAGTTAAGATACCTTGAATTGTTGCCTTAAATATTATAATGATAAAGGCAGACACTGCAAAGGATTTGTCAAATTATCTGAATATAGCGAAATAGTAGATGCAGTTAGTTGTAATTGAGCCATCTTTACAAATATTATTGTCTTTACAGTAATTATTGCATTGTAAATCATCAACCATAACCCATATAGAGCCTAGAATAACCAAATAGAAAATAAATGCAGCTGTAACACTCACTATAGATGTTTTAAAACCTTTATAGCCATTATAATCTCTGTTCATTTAGCATTAAACTGGGATCAACTATACGTCATTTGACTAAAATGAATAAGCAGATATCGGCATCATTAGCAATATTGTATCTAAAGTTAAATGCTTAGCGAAATTATAATTAATTACTTTAGGAGTAATAGTTTAGAGAATCCTCAAAATCTTAGAGGAGGCCATTTTTTATTGGTCCCTGATCATTTTAAAATCTTATCTTGAATGATTGAATAATTATCAGAGTCATCAATAAGAAAGTTAAAATCACTGAAAATACTGAAAGCCATATGTATCTTGAAAAATTCATCTTCACTTAAGCAAAGATTACCAACACTAATAGTAGCAAAACCCACGAATAATAAACTATAAAGTAATTCACTGAAATATCCCATTCACTGAGCAAGTAGTAGAAAGTTCTTGAAGAAACACCTAAGAAATTTACTTATAATACAATTTATACTATAATGAGTTGCTGGGAAAAAGCCATAGGCGCATAGTTATGTAGCTGATATTAAAATGACCCATGCTCGAGATTTAAGCAGAGCGAATGATATCTCCTAAAGTGAACTTAAAGTTAAATAGAAATTATTTTACTTTAATTAAGGATGCTCAATTCTTAATCATAGTATTATGAAGCATGATATTATCACACTTATATAATTCAATATGAAAAATGCAATCGCATAATAGTAGTCATTTTTGTAATGAAAATTAGTCGGAAATGATAGGAATCCAATACCCACGATTCTACATAAAAGAGCACTTGAAGCTGCAAAGAAACCTATTCCTTAGTTATCTTTGGCATTGATGTCTTTTTTACAGCAATTACGAAAAAAACTTTTTGATATATTCTGCTCATCAACATCTTTCAAATCAGTTGGGTAAACAGTTTATAAAGAGTGCAGTTTTACTTCATCAGATTGATTAAAGTATGTTTTATTATTTCCCATTGATGATCTTTGAAATTCTAATAGTTAATCACTTGATTGATCATATAAGGTGCTCACCTGTACCTTTGGTTGAAAACCAAGACCTTTGTTAGTGCTGTATCATGGTAATACAGTAGGTCTTTTATGAGAATCATCATTCAATGAGTCAAAGTTTTTTTAATTTAAGTTATTGAATGTTGTTTCCTTGATATCAAGAATACCTTAATCAGCAGTATTATCATTCTTATCAACTAATTAATAATCCTCATTTTCAGAGGCATAGCTACCATTCATCTTAATTTCCAAATCTAATATAATGATAATATAACTTTGATTAAAAAAATAAACTTATCCTACTCAAGTTCAAATAAATTCCAAAAAAAGTATCTTTCGGGGTTTTGGGGTTTTGGGGTTTTGGGG